CCTGGGCATTTCCTTCAGGTACCACTTACATTTGTTAACTCTCCCAGCAAGCAAAAGCAACTCTGCAATCCTCCAGGAACCTCCCAAATGAGCCATTAAACAGCCACACTAATTAAGCTGGTCTGGTTTAACACTGTTAAGGGACTGACACCTGTGTTTAGCCTCATGCCATAGACAAGAATGGACAGTTCAGCGTGAGCTAAATGGTATAAAGGAAAGTGGGTTGAAAACAGATTTCCAGCTGCCGTGAATTCTTAGTAGCCAATTAGAACATAACCAAAATCCTGAATCAAAGGGCAAACATAACAATTTTCTAAGCAGATAACAAGCACAACAATATAACAAATTAGCAGAGACCCAGAGTTGTTTCTTACCTGTTGAGAAGTACATGCCACAGTATGGACATGTAGTAAGTAAAATAACCCAAAAGAATCGGAGATACTATTGGGAATTGTTGGTAATGCTACTGGAACTTTGGATATATCCAGTTTCAATCAGCAGAGGGAGGAGGTAAAATTACGTGTTGGGAAATGCATCTGTAATTACTAAGTCTCTCCCTACTTCAACTGGCAACACAAAGGACTTCTTGAAATTCACAATACAGTGCATCAGTGCTGAAAGTACATGTCTGAAACACACGTGATGGACAAGCTTCTGTTTTCCTCCAAAAACTGATGTTGCCACCAGTGCTGGAGTATCCAGTTTTCTGTAGAACAGCACTAGTAAATTCCGTGTCAGAGTTGCATTTGGTTTCATGCCCATCTCCCCTCACCCCAAGACTTTCTGTACATTCCCAAAGCACATCTCATGCATTCACACCCACACACACCTGGCCCTCACATATAAATAGCTACTGAAGAACAATTCAAGGAATCAACAGCAGTCCCACCAATAACAAGTTCTGATAATGCATTTTCCTGCCTCTCCATACAGCCTTGCTGTACTGGAGAGTCACTCTGCTCACTCAGCACCAGAGCAAAGGGAAGCACTCAGGCATTTTCAGCATCATTCCAGACTCCCTTGAGCTTCTAACTTCTCAAGAGCTCTGTAGGCACATACAGTACTGGCTTCTTCATGCCAGGATTCCTCCTGAGCTGCTGTGCAAAAACTGGGCACTAAGTCTTCCAATGTTATCAGAGAGTGGAATTCAGTTACTTTTCTCTTGTGGAAGGAAAAAGGTAAACTATTTGATCAGGTCCAGTAGCTGAGCAATATTTAAAAAAGAAAGGCTGATGAAGCTTACAGAAGAGCTTATTTGTGTCTGCCCATGCCATCTCATCACCTGTAACAGGGCCAGAAACCCAAGATCACTGCTTTTCTAGGTGTACATAGATCACCATACATCTAAGACCCTTGACAAAGAAGACAGATGAAGCTCATTATTCAAAAGTGCTTCCAAAAGTCCAAAAGCAGAAAACCAGGTGATCATTATTTGTTTATTTGAATAAATAGTACAACTGTCACAAACCATGCATAACACTCCTGCTGTGATTTTTAGCAAACATAGCATTGCATTGTAACTTGCTTACAGTACACAACTCTCATCACAAAGCTGGCTGTCTCCAGCATATGACAAGTCCAGAATTTCCTCTGCAAGGCTGATTTTTAGTAGTTAGAAATCCAGAGTAAACACTGTTAAAACCAGTAGAAAATACTTTTAAAAAAGACATTAATACTGAAAGCACTGAGGCGTGGAGAAGAGGGGTAAGAAATCCCATAAGGTTTAAAGTGATTTTAAAAGATCTGCCACTGTTGGTGTTTCATCTTGAAAACAGGATGCAGCTGAGAAGGATCAGAGCTTTTTCTGTAATATAGCTCAGTGGAACTGAGTATGTCCAGTAGATGCACCCAAAAGTCAAGTTGTATGGACTGGAAAAGACATTAATTAAGTACTTACAAATGTGGAAGCTTTAATGCTGCAGAGCATTCAGCATTCCAGATTAATTCAACAGGATTCTACAGGATTCCTATGTACCCAGGGAAAATATCTAAAACCCCAGTAACAAAAAGAGTTCACAAGTAACATTTTTAATGTTGACATAGCTCTTTGAGAAGGAGCAGGCATGTGTAACAGAAAGGCAAGACAAAAGCAGGTGTTCAGAGCTTTACCTACATTGCTCTTCTTGGAAACTGGACTGATGGGCATGAAGCTCCAGTTCAGTTAAATCTATCCTGCTCACTATCTGCTTAACACTAAATAGTGTATCCAGTGAGATGGCTAGACAGCAAGGAGCCGAGGAATGAAAAATATATTTACCCCGTGCAACATTTACCAACAGATCTAAAAACACAACAGAACCTGCCCCCAACCTGTTCAGGGCATCAAGCCTGCAGTCCTGGCTGACAGGGATATTAATACCAGGAATGGGAAAGGAGACCCATGCCTCAAGCTGTAGCAAAGGGAATCAGGTTTCTGTACAGTGACCAGAAACATGTAATTGAACAAAACAGACTCTTAAAACCTGTTGGTATATCCACACCTGTTCACATACCATAAAGGTGCCAGCTCTGTAATCTCTAATCCCACCTCAGAAATAGCTGTTCTCCCTTCCAAAGCCAAATCCCACTTACCAGTCTCTTCTTATTACTTTCTATTTGCTTTTGAATTAATACTGCTTGCAATTTCAAAAACTAGACTCTCTGGACATCTTTCCCAGCAACTCAGAGCATGTAAACAGCACTGGCACTTTCACAGCACCTGGGTGGAATAGCAACTCTTTAACAGATTTGTTTCCCACAGATAACACTGTATTAGACTAAAATATTGAGAGATCTTTCAGTTCAATCATCTTCCAGTCTCCTGCTACCCTTATTTCACAGCATGAATTTTAGAGTGATTTCATTAACTCACCAGAAGAGCTGACCCACTAGGCCTTAGTACCTCTGCAAGTCTCCTCTGTAATAACTGCTAGCATTGTGCTAGAGTTTAGTGGCCCCATCTGAACTGCAAGTCCAATTGTTCTAGGCTCTGTATAAACAGGGAGAGGTCAGCTCAGTACACACAAGCAATGATTCCCCAGAGAACCTTACAGAGTAGATGAGATCTGAATTTTTCATGCAAAGAAAAGGCAACTTCCTTCCATCTTTGTTTTAGAGGTATGAGGGGAGGTGACCCAAATAATTCAAATACTAGAACTCAGAAGACAAAGACAGACGAAGAAACAGAAGCCCATGTCTCTCTCCTTTCGAGGTGAAAAAATGTTTAAGGAGGGAGGGAGAAAATCCCAATTGTAAAATTATACCATTCAAATAGCACGTTTCCCCTTGAACCTGAGTTCAAGGGTAAATA